TATGTTGTCATTGGTTGATTTTTTTATGATGTTCACTGACGCACATAAGCTATGTCTGGGTTATGTCAGTTACTGAGGATAAGAACAACAGAAGGAAGGAAAGGAAATATGTGTAATAGAGAAGAGAGGGAGTTTTGTCACTCTCTTAGTGAAAAGGAAAGTGTATATTTCTATATGTTGTTACTACAACCTAATCCTACTATTACAACAGTTTATATTGTATAATATCTTTGTGATGTCTACAAGCCTTTGTTTAATATTGGTAGGATTTGATGGTCCTGTGTCCAATATGGATTAACATGAGCTTTTTTGGCACTGTCGTAAATAAGAGATGGACTGTGACACTCCTTTACGATACCATATTCGTTTACGGCCCATTCTCCGGATTACGACAGTAAGCCATATTTGAGAATACCAGGAGTACATGTGATGCGAACCCTGCTTGTATTTTGTGGAATAAAGCTTGGATGAACTTATCTTCCGAGTCTTCATTCTTGACAATTTATTCAGCAAAATATCTAATAACTGCCATGTCAGAGTCTGTATCAAATTTTGGCTATAAACCAAGAGTGTTGGATATCGACCTGAATTCAACACACACCACCAGAGAATGGTAGCACTAGCACTGGCATACTAGATTCACCAACTATCTAGATGACTACAAAGACAGAATTACAAACAAACTACAGGCATTGATAAGCTGTGTAAATCCTACAGCTTTCAAATTCATTGAATCCTGCAAAGATATTGAATCGGCACTAAATCGACTGGACTCAATATACATTAAAAAAACGAATGAAGTCTTTGCCCGTCATCTACTGGCCACACAGAAGCAAAGACAAGATGAATCGATTGATGATTTTTTCCAAAGTCTCGAAAAATTAAGTCGAGACTGCAATTTTAAGGACAGAACAGTTAAGCAAGTCGGTGATGAAGCTGTGAGAGATGCTTTCATTTGTGAGATAACATCATCAGCAATCCGACAGAGATTACTGGAAAATAAAAACTTGGATCACGAACAAGTACTAACACTGGATAGCCCAGAAAAATAATGTGGCTTGCATTTCTCTCTCCAATTCAGTCATTGCTGTCATTAACAACAGGAGACCACGTGGGGACTAGACAGGCAATAGTAGTAGTAGTAGTGAAGAAAAAATAATCAAACCACTGTCGCTGCCACATTCAACCAAAGATATAACAATTCTTATAAGAAGACTTCCACTACAGCTTTGAATAATAACACCGGTAAGAAAGCTTGTTTTTTCTGTGGTATTATACCTTACCATAAACGATCCATTTGTCCGGCATGTGATGTAATTTGTCATTGCTGTGATAAGCAGGGACATTACCAAAAAATGCGTAGCTCATCAAATGTGAGAACTAATGCTATGATTCATTCAGCTTCTTGTATTTCTGTAAACATTACTAACGTACCAGTGGGACTTTCCCATGCTGCTACTTTCGTCATGATTGAAAATAGAACCTTCAATACTCTAATAGATTCTTGTGCTTCTGAAAATTTTATCAGCAAAAAAGTGGTGGATTTATTGTCTCTGAGGATTTTTCCCTTATCAAAAAAAGTAAGTATGGCCCAAAAAAGTATTAATAGTAGGTCAAATGGATTTGTAGTAGTTGATTTTAAACTGGGTCTTAACGATAAATTATATACTTCTCTTCATTTGACTATCATGAAGAACCTCTGTTGTGATGTTGTTCTTGGATGGAAATTTCAATCCCGACATCTTAAGGTCACATTTGAATATGGTGGTTATTTACCGGAACTCATTGTGAAAGGCACTTGCTCTGGAAGCTGCTGATATAGCTGAACCAACCTTGTTCCCAGGGATTTCAGTTAAATGCAAACCAATTGCTACTAAATCAAGATGTTTTAGTAAAGAGGACTCTGATTTTATTGCTGTGGAAATTAGCAAATTTCTGGAAGATGGGATTATTGAACCCAGTATTTCACCATGGCGTTCACTATTAGTAGTGGTTAAGGATGAAGTTAAAATGCACAAAAAATGGTTATGTGTGGACTATTCTCAAACCATAAACATCTACACAGAACTGGAGGCTTTTCCATTACCAAGAATTTACGATCTGGTTGCAAATCTTGCCAGGTATAAATACTTTTCAACTTTCGATCTAAGCCGGACCCCGAACGAATGAAGCCATTGCAGGAACTACCACCACCTAAAAACATGAACAGTCTGAAGAGAATCAGGGGAATGTTTGCTTACTACACTAAGTGGATCCCTGAATTCTCAGAAAAAAACACAACCCTTAGTGAAAGCGGATCAGTTCCCATTGGAAGAGAAGGCACTTAAGGCATTTAATACATTGAAATCAGAACTGTGTAGAGCGACCTTATGGGCTATTGACGAGAACCTACCCATTCAGTTAGATTGTGATGCTTCGGACTATGCTGTATCTGCCAAAACGGAAGGCCCATAGCATTCATGTCAAGATCACTCCATGCAAGTGAAAAGGGATATAGCATCGTTGAGAAGGAAGCTCTAGCCATATAATAGAGGCCGTACGAAAATGGAAGCATCTCCTGTCCCCACATCACTTCAAACTATACACAGATGCAAGGTCTGTAGCATTCATGTATGATAACAGGAAACGCACTAAAGTAAAGAATGCGAAAATCAATGAATGAAGAATGGAACTCGGTGAATTATCCTTCAACATTGAATATCGACCAGGAAGAAACAATGTTGCTGTGGACACTTTCAGTCGTACTTATTATGCATCATTAAGTTGCCAAATCTCAGTTCTGGTGGAATTACATGAAAACTATGCCATCCAGGTGTCTCAAGACTTTCACATTTTGTGCAGTCAAGAAATCTCCCCTTTTCAACTGAAGATGTCAAGAAAACCTGTGCATCCTGCAGAATTTGTGCAGAACTCAAACCCTGGTTCTATTGACCAACTGAAGGCACAGTGATAAAAGCCACTGGTCTGATGCAAAGAATCAGTATTGACTTTAAGGGGCCCCTCCCAACGGCTTCTCGCAATCCATATTTATTATTGTTGATGAATATTCATGATTTCCATTCTTATATTCCTGCCCAGACATGAAAACTTCCACAGTCATAAAGTGCCTGGAACTCCTTTTTAGTATGACTGGAATGTCAGACTACATACATTGAGACAGAGGCCATTCTTTTATATCCCAGGAGCTAAAGGAATATTTAGTTGGTAAAGGGGTTGCTACCAGTAATTTGACGCCCTATCACCCACAGGGTAATGGTCAAGCTGAATGGTATGTAGGGGTTGTCTGGAAAATAATCCAATTGGCACTTAAGTCACTCATGCTATCAGATAAACATTGGGAGCAGGTCCTACCACAAGTTCTTCATTCTATGCGGTCCCTGTTATGTACCACAACAAATTGTACACCACATGAACGTTTTCTTTTAAATTTCAGAGACGCACAACCCATGGAAATTCTCTGCCATCTTGGTTGATGAATCCGAGGCCAGTGTTGTTGCGACAATTCATTCGTACTATCAAGAATGACCCCTGAGTGGATCGGGTTAACCTGACTGATAGTAATCAATCATTTGCATGCATCAGATACCCAGATGGGAGAGAATCAACTGTGTCGGTTCAAGACTTGGCCCCAGATCCTACCGGCTCCAAGACATTTTCACACCAGCAGATGTTTCAGCAGTCCTCTGAGGAGATCCCTTCTGAACCGGCATCTGTTGAGCTGCTAACCATACAAATTGAGCCTTTAATGAGCCCAGGAAGTGACGCTGATACAGAAGACCACGATTTGTCATGCAGAGAGATTGTGCAAACACTACAGAGGTCAGGTCGCATGTCGGTGACCGCAAAAAGGTATGGCTGGGACTAAAATAAGTACTCCCTTCCAGAGGGGAGGAATGTCATAAATAAGAGATGGACTGTGACACTCCTTTACGACACCATATTCGTTTATGGCCTGTTCTTCGAATTACGACAATCAACCGTATTTGAGAATACCAGGAGCACATGTGATGTGGACCCTACTTGTATTTTGCCGAATAAAGCTTGGATGAACTTATCTTCTGAGTCTCAGTCTTCATTCTTGACAGGCACAATTGTCTATTGTCTTTTGCACAATACTAAATTTCATGAAGGGAAAAACAGCCCAATACATTAAAGTTATCTCAAAATTTCAAAACCATAATTATTCAATTTTGGAAAATGATCAATGATGGTTGAAGGTACTCAAACATATACATGTGGCTGATTTTTACACAAACCAGAACAAAAACATACATTACCTTGTATAAAAACAGGAGAAAATTACTAAATATTATCAAAACAAGCCTTGTCAGTGATCTTTAATA